GTGTCTCTGTATCTTCCTGTCTGTCTCTTATAATGACACTCATTACTGGAGTTAGGGTCCATTCTATTCCAGAATGATCTCATCTCAAGATGCTTGCCATATTATTTTATTATTTATTATTTATTTATTTATTATTAATATTACTTCACAGTCTATCAATCAATAGTTTCATAAATGTGGTCACTTGCTTGGTTCATATAAATGGGGTTACTACTTTACCAGGTGATGTTCCCATGAATGCACATGAAGCCCCTTTTAGCACAGAAAGTGTCTGACCCCAGGTATCCTGAGCACTGAGTCCCATAAACTTACCTAGGATAATGGCACAGTCCTCTAGAACTTTCCCAAATTCTGCTACCAGCCCTGTTGATGTCTGCTAGGGCTCTCTCAACTCTTCCTCCTATACTTAGAGCAACCATCTAAGGATGGTCTGTTTACTTTCAAATCCATGGCCACTCCCTATTGCTATACTGTAAGCATCTCTGGAGAGAGATGACAGAGAGCCATTTCCAGTGAAGCGCACATTCATTACTCTTCTGGTCAGAGCTTCTGCCTGATAGTCACTTCTTACTCTCCAAGCTGGGGGTAGAACCACAAGAACATCTCTGCATTAGGCCCAAAGCAAGGCCAAAGTGTCTTTTTCTCATAAGCTCAGGGCTGAAAGTGAAGGCATGGTCCAAGAAGAAAGAAAATCCTCTTAGAGTTCTGTAAGGAAGAGGAAAGATGACTCAGAACAGTGTTGATGCCTTTGTTCTACCCCAGTGACAGCCCCACTGTGCTCCTTACATCTTTGACGAGTCCTTTAACACCCGCCTAGGGAATGATGTTAGGTTGACCTGTAGTCAGCACGTGCTTCAAGGCTGGCTCCACTTTCCACTGCCTCAGAACCGTGGGAATCTGTTTATCCTTCTCGCCTATAAAGTCTCCTAGCACTTAACTTATTCTAATCTGTGCCTCTTGTTATTTTTATGACAATAAAATAGGTTTTCTCCTTACATTGATTATAAACAAGGACAGATTAAAAAAAAAAAAAAAGAAATATTGAAGCAGATTACCGGGCTGGGATGTAAGTGAGTGTGTGTGTGTGTGTGTGTGTGTGTGTGTGTGTGTGTGTGAGAGAGAGAGAGAGAGAGAGAGAGAATTAGTTGTATTAGAGATTGAACCCAGCCCCAACAATTTAGTGAGGCCTTAAGCAACTTATTGAGACCCTGTCTCAAAATAAAAAGGGTTAGGGGTATAACTCAGTGGTAAAGCACTCCTGGGTTCAATCCCTGTACCAATAAAATAAAATAAAAAGGGCTGGGGGAGGAGCTCACGGGGACAGTGGCCCTGGGTTCAATCTCTGATACAACTCACTCCCTGCCCCCCACCCCCAGCCCCCCACACACAAAGAATAAAGTGTTAAGGCTCCACTAGGCTAGGAAAGCAGGTCTAGAAGCATGAGAAAAACAAAACAACACTAGAAGAGGAAGTGGACTTTGAGGCCAAGAGTAAGGTCACTGCTGCAGACCCTGTGGGAATAACCACAGGAGGAATTCCAGCCAGGAGAAACCCACATCAACTCAGCCCACTCCTGGGGAGCGCTTAGAAAGTGGATGTGAATTCGATCTTTTTCTTGAGGCCTCTCATGTGGTGTTGGGGAATACCCACAGTAGGACTTTGCACCACTGTGATTTGTCTATTGCAAAACATATGTACTTAGTTGTTGTTTATCTCTAAATAAAGCTTTGTTTTACTACACTGCAATTATTTACAGAGGAGTTCATACCAGCCAGTCAGTATACTACCCAAAGGACAGTTTTCTTAGGTTTTGGCTCATGTAAAAGAACATGATTCCAGTGTCAAAAAAACTCAGCCACAAACTTCTGAGCCTAGTTTTCTCTTTTTCTGAAATGGGAATATTTTTCATCTTAAAAAGACTTTGCTTTTAGCACAGGCATCTAGTAGATACTTCATGAATATTAGTTTCCTTCCTTTTTTATTGTCATTAATATATCTGGCAAGATGATTATAATGTAAGATGTTAGTGCACATTTAAGCTAGAATAAAATGTTTCCTGTAAGAAAGCAGAGGAAGTAGCCCAAACTTTCAGAATCATTGAAGAAAGCCCTAGAAGGCACTGGTCTTGCTCTTCCCAAAATAGATGACCTATGATAACATGCAAAATGTCTTTCAATTAAGTTCTTTGTTTTATAATGTGTTCGGTTTTCATAAAATCAACCCCAGGAATTAATTCACTTCCTTTTCAAAAGGAAATCTTTTGAGAAGCACTTTTTCATTTTACATTTACTTTCTCATATATCAGGACACTATTATGTCTACATCATACATAATTTAATATTAAATGTTTTTTAAAAGTAATTTAAATGATATTTCACTGACATTTATAATCTTGAAAATTTGTAAATTTGGTTTATATTGATATATATTTCTGTCCATTTAGATGCTCTAAGGACTCTAATCACATCGAAAGGATTTTGTAAATAGCAAGATCTATACCTGTAGTCCCAGCTACTTGGGAGTCTGAGGCAGGAATATTGCTTGAGCTAAGGAATTTGAGACTGTCTTGGCTAACATGGCAAAACTGCTGTCTCCTAAGTTAAAAATATGTAAACAAATGATTTTTCAAAAACAAGAGAGATAAAAGTCATCTAATAATTTTTCTAAGTTCTGAAAAGAGCAAATGCAATTATAATTTTTCAATGTGTGACATTATAAATACCGTTTCAGTGTGGTTAACAGACAGTAAGAAATCAGAGGATACTGATTATATATACCTCACTATTATTCTCTTATGAGTAATAATCATTGGTAAATAAGCAAGCAATATATTTCAATCAACAAATATTTATTGAGCATCTGTTATATGCTTAGCACTATTTTAGGCCCTCTAAATCTGGCAGTAAATACGACCACTTATCTCTTAGTAACTTCATTGTATATTTACACTCTCTTTTTTTATTAGTTGTTCAAAACATTTTTTTATTAGTTGTTCAAAACATGTATATATACACTCATGTGTAAACTGCATCAAAACATGAAATTTGGTCTAGGCGTATATCTCAGTGGTAGATAGCTTGCCTAGCATGTGCAAAGCCCTGGATCCTACCCACACACTGAAGGAAAATAAAATCTTAAAAACATCTTAAAATATTAATTTTTATCTTAAAATAAATCAAGAAAGAAGCCAGAGGTTGTGCCAAAATAGAAAATCAGCCTGGTGCAGTTACACACACCTGTAATCCCAGTGGCTTAGGAGGCTGAGGCAGGAGAATCTTGAGTTCAAGGCCAGCCTCAGCAACTTAGCAAGGCCCTGAGCAACTTGCTAAGTTGAGAAACAGTGAGTTTGAAACAGTGAGACTCTGTTTCAAAATGAAAAATAAAAAGAACAGGGATATGACTCAGTGGTAAAGCCCCCCTGGGTTCAATCTCTGATACTAAAAAAAATAAAAATTAAAAAAAAAAACAGAAAAAAGAATATCAGCTATAAGAGCTTCTAGATTTATGGCCATTAAACAATCTGGAAGCTATTCTCTTCCTTTAAAATTCAAACTAGTTATAGAAAGCCCTCTCACTCCCACAGGATATATTAGCAATAAAATTGAGATGGGAGAGTGAAGGGGCAAAGACAGAGTTCATATAAAGTGAAGCCATATGCACTAGATTTGATTATTGTCCACAATTATTCTCTCCATCCCTCATCTCTCCATAACACATACACCTACAAAACTCTAGAGTGGGTGTGGTGTATTCCTCCATTCTATTGATGTTGAGCCATGTAACTTGCTCTAGTCAAGGGCAATGTGACATGTCCAAAGGATTTAAAGGTTCTTTTGTCCTTTGGCTTGCAGCTCATACCCCTGTGATTACCATGAAGACAGCATAATGCTAGCCATCTGCAGCCTTTTCAATCTTGGCCCTGAGTGAGATACACAACAGTCCTACATTTCACCAAAAGTCTACAGAGTCTAAAGGTAAGCCAAGATGAGCTGGAGCTTGAAGAAGAGCTACGCAAGCTGACGTGCATACCTATGTGCAAAAAAAATAGATGCTTCATTTATTTATAAATAGTACTCAGTGTTCTTGGGATCTGAATGCAGGATTTGAGGGGATCAATAGGTGACTAACACACCATTCCAATTTAAACACACAGCATGTATTTGTTCATATTGACAAGTCCAGCTTATGATATACCAGCTAATAACATTATGAGGACTTTGTGCAATTGTAGGCAGTCTCTAACAAGTTATGCAATTAGTTTAAAAATCCTTAACAGAAGTAATGAACCAAGCCAATGTAAAGAATTATGGGACAAAGGTGGGAGTCAGTAGAAAGCCAGTAGAAGCAAGGCTATGAATGAATAAAACCGGTCTAATACATTACAGGCTTGTCTATTAAATTACCAGGAGTTGGTATGTCCCACTGGCAAACTGACAACAATCATTACACTTGAATTCTTTTCCTGTTAAAAATACAAAGGTTCTTTTTTTCCATTCATAAATGAAACATGTTTTCATAGATCAAAGACTTTGGCTTAAGTAACTGAATAAAATAAGACCTTAATTTGATATCAGTATAACTTGAAAAGCAAGCCAATGATGTCTTTCTTTGTTTTAGCTACTGAAGAAAGAACAGAAGCACACTTATTATGCAAATTACACATGCATACAAAGAGAAGGCTGAGCCCTTTGAATGAAAGTTTTGCAACAGTTCAAACCAAGAGAAATGATGTGGAAATGATTCCTTACATGGCACACACCTTATGTGTGGGACACAAAGGCAAGCAGAACTCAAAGACAACCCATGACATATTTAGTTACATTCATACTGGGAGAAGAAATCTAGTTTCAGGAAAACATTGCCCATCATATTATTGTTTTGAATTTTCAGATTATTAGTTGTGTTAGGACCTAAATTTAAATTTTGTTTTCTTTTACAGGTGAAATAAACTTAGATGGCTGGCGGTGACACATACCTGTAATTCCAGTTTCTTGGGAGGCTAAGGCAGGGGGATCATGAGTTCAAAGCCAACCTCAGCAACTTAGGAAGGCCCTAAGCAACTCAGTGAGCCCTGTCTCAAAATAAAAATAAAAAGGCCTGGGGATGTAGCTCAGTGGTAAAGTGCCCCTGGATTTAATACCCAGTACCAATAGTAATAATTTTTAAAAATTTAAGTGGTTGGAGGTTTTCCCTTAGCTACCAGCCTATTGTTGTGATTGAAAGAGAACCCAACTCAAACTCACTTCAATGGGAAAGAAAAAATGTTAACATATATATTATATAATTTTTCTTTCCCTATATTATAGAACCCTTATAAATATGTATATATAAATATATATTATATAACATATATAATATATAACATATAACATGTGTACACATTTGTAAGGGTCTTGCTTATGTATTTATAAAGGTCTTACTATGTAGACCTGGAACTCCTGGGCTGAAACAATCCTTCTGCCTCAGCTTCCTGAGAAGCTGGGCTAGGTGCATGCCACCATGCCTTGCTAAGAAAAATTATTTATCCATGTAGTAGTGGAAAAGCCTCAGGGTTTTTAATGTTATGAACATCTTGATCCAGGAGCTCCAAAAATGTAATCAAAATTCAGTTTCCCTTTGTTTCTTGGTTCTGCCTTCTGCTGTGTCAGCTTCACTCTAGAGATTCATGTGGGAGCCTTTGGCAGCTCCAGACTCACAACTTCCTA